CCAATAGAAAACTCTGTTGCACCAATAGAAAACACTGTTACACCAATAGAAAACACTGTTACACCAATAGAAAACACTGTTCCACTAATAGAAAACACGGTTGCACCAATAGAAAACACTGTTGCACCAATAGAAAACTCTGTTCCGCCTATAGAAAACACTGTTACACCAATAGAAAACACTGTTACACCAATAGAAAACACTGTTACACCAATAGAAAACACTGTTACACCAATAGAAAACACTGTTACACCAATAGAAAACTCTGCTGCACCAATAGAAAACATTGTTCCACCCATAGAAAACACTGTTACACCCATAGAAAACACTGTTACACCAATAGAAAACATTGTTCCACCCATAGAAAACACTGTTACACCCATAGAAAACACTGTTACACCCATAGAAAACACTGTTCCACCCATAGAAAACTCTGTTCCACCCGTAGAAAACACTGTTCCACCCAGGAAAAAAGTCACGTGAGCCAAATGGCAGAAGTTAGTGTGAAGCAGGTAACTGTAACATGAACACCACAAAATCACCTGAAACACTGTCATAAACCAGAGTACAAAAAAATGTGGGCCGAGGCCACAACTTCAGTCAAGCTGTCCCTTACAAGCAGCAAATTAAGGACAAGAAGGAGAGAACATGTTGCAGACTAAGGTGTGGCATATTGTGTTACTAAAGCAGGGCTCTACACTTATGCTTTGCACCAGTGCACCTAACTTTTTCTTATGTGCACCAGCACAAAAATTAGGTGCAACCAATTTTTCAACTGCATCATATGCATACTGTGTCACAGTTTTACTTTTTTAAATCACTGTCCATTAAGGCAATACTAACTCACAAATAATTAGTTATAATCTAGTAAACATGGTTCTTTATTTGAACCAGAAACAATACAATAACAATAACTCACTGTACAATAACTTACTGAAAAGTGTTTCTGTGACCTGAAATTTTTTCTCAAAATAAATTAAACAAAAGCACTTGGAATTTAGAATTTCTTTTATTTTAAGGCTAAACTTCTTATAAACATCTCAAATTGAACATTTCATAGTTAAATGTCTTTTAGATTACATGTGCCACTCAGATGGACAAGTCCTGTAGTTTGGCCTTCTGGATCTTTGGCCCTGTTTAAACCAGCTTTCTACACTCTCACAGAATCCAAACAGCAAATATCTGTCTTTGCACAAACTAAAATTACCTCTTTTTTTAAACCGGGGGTAAATGTTAAACAGAGACTCATGTTTRCTTTAACGTGGGGTTAATGTTCATCTGCTAGAATTGATATTGTTTAATTAGAAGAACTCAAACAGTGAGTTCAGCCTGCGTGCACTGTGCTCAAAAATGTCATCTTTTCAATTTTGTCTGCCTTGAATAGACTGTAAAACATAGTTTTACGGAAAAAAACAGTTGAATATTGAAAACTGTTTAATGGAATTGAACAAATCTTTCACTTCTTTCTTTTGTCAGTGTGTTTATGTAATGATATGATCTACTTTTGGTTTTTAGAGATTAACGGACATTTTAGGCTGATGCTACAACATTCTGTTTGGTAATATAGGCTAAAAAGTTCACATATACAGCGCTGCTTAGTGAAGTATAAACAGCTGTACTTGTTTACTCACCAGATTCAGAGGAAAAACTTTTTCTTTTCTCGTTAACTATCTGCAATGTTTGCATCTGCTTAATCATATGTCATATATTATATACCTTTGTGTGTGTAACTGTGTTGATATTTCTGTATACATGTATTGTTAGTTTGTCTAGTATACATTTTTCCTATATTCTATCACATTTTTAACGTTTTTGTTCTGGGCAGTAACCCTTGGTATTAATTGCCTGACAGGGCAGGTAAAAATAAAACTTGTTGAACGCTGCCCACATCTGATCTCCATCTGTCGAGCTGTCACCACCAATACTGTGTTATCTTCACATAAAAGAAGGGATAATAAAACATGCTCATTTTATTTTATGTAGAAAAAAATAACTGTTTAATATACATGTCAAACAGAAAATGTAGCACTAGCTTTTATTTGTTATTAAATGTTTATAATTTTTTTAAACTTGTGTAACATTTATTGTCATTGTGTCATTTTTATGACATAAAACGAGGAAGAAAAAGTGATATTGGCTTCAAGAATCGGCCCCAAAAAATTGACAGCACATATCGGGAATCGGTAATGTCAAAACTAATCAATATTGGTCTTAAAAACCCTGTTTTGGTCTGTCTCTAGCCGTCATTGTATTTTTTAGGGCTGTGTATTGGCAAGAATTTTGCGATACGATACGTCATAACAGAGGGGTCACGATACGATATATCCCGATATATTGCGATACTGTAAGCAAGGCAATATATTGCGATACATTGCGAATTTTTTG